GGGGCGGGGGCGGAAGGCGGGGGCCGGGGGTGGGGGGCGGGGGGCGGGTGGGGGGGGCCTGGGTGCTGTAGGGTGGGGGCTGTTCGTTTTTTACTGTTCTCTCGTTTGTCTGGTATACTTTTTCTTGCCTTCTTGCTTCTGCTATTGCTTTTTCCCCAAGAAAAGTGCATTTCTCATACACGAAGCTCTCTACCTGCTTCGCACACACCCACCTATCGCACACTTGGCAGTTTCTGTCCCCTCGCACCCCTCTCTCCCATTCCACCTTCCTCCACGAGATTGTTGGCATGGGAGTCCTGTCAGCCCTCCTGCAGAGTTTCTTTTTCTCTCCCTCCCATCTCTCAGCCAACCCCACTCCCTCCCCCCTTTCCTTTTCCCTTTCCTCTTTTCCACCTCTTTTCTCTCCCTCCTTCGTTCTACCTTTGATCCTCTTTCCCCTCCTCCCTCCCACATCTCCCCCCCACCAGCGGTGGTGAGCTTGGGGATTACTGGATGCGGATTCAGCCAAGGCGCTGACAGACATGGGCATCAGAAGCGTCACTTGGCTGTCTTAAAACAACATCTCGCCCTTCCTGTCCCCCTCTCCCCCCACCGGCGGTGGTGAGCATGGGGGACCTCGATGCGGATTCAGCCAAGGCACTGACAGGCATGGGCATCAGAGGCGGAGTGACCCGGCAGTCTCAACTCACCCGCTGCCCTTCCTACTCCCTCCTCTGCTATGCTCTTCTCTCCCCCATCTCCCCCCCACCAGCGGTGGTGAGCATGGGGCAGCCGGATGCGGATTTAGCTAAGGCGCTGACAGACGTGGGCATCAGAGGAGTCAACTGGGACTCTCAACCACGTCTCTCATCTCATTCCTTGTTCTCTCCCCTCCCCCTGTCCCCTCTCCCCCCACCAGCGGTGTGAGCATGGGGGATCTGGATGCGGATTCAGCCAAGGCGCTGACAGACATGGGCATCAGGGGAGTCACCTGGGACGACTTTCTGAAAGAGGTGAGTCAATGCAGGTCAACGTCAGTCAATGCAAGTCAGTGGCAGTCAACTGCTGAGGTGCTTCCAGAAGAAGCAACGATGTCAGTCAATGCCGGTCAATACCGGTCAATGCCAGTCAGTGCTGGTCAACGCTGGTCAACACCAGTCTATGATGGTATGCTGGACCACTACTCATCCCACTCCCCTCCCCACCCGTCCTCCTCTCCTTCCATCATCCCATTCCTCCTTTCTCGGTCCCTTCACCATCCCCCCTCCCCTCACCCTCTCCTCTTCTTCACCCATCTCTCAGGGCGAGGCGAAGCCAGTGGAACCATGCCCATCCAAGCCAGAAGACATCTGCACCATCATGTACACCTCAGGTGGGTCCAGGTGCTTCCTCAGGTGGGTTCAGTGCTTGTTAAGTGGGTTAAAGTGCACCAGGTGGGTTCATGTGGTTACTCAGGTGGGTTCAGATGGTTACTCAGGTTGGTCCAGGTGCTTAGGTGAAGAGTCTTGTTACTCACTCACATCATCTATCCAGCCTTCCCTCTGATTTTTTACGCCACCCTACCACCCCACGCACGCTCAAATGGCTGTCGTTTCTCCCCATCCAACCGTTTTAAACCTCCTCTCCTCCCTTGTTGTCGCTCTCAACCGGCAGGCACCCCGGGAGAGCCCAAGGGCGTGCTTATAACTTGCACACTCGTTGTACTCCCTCTCGCTCACCCAATCCACAGGAACCACGGGCGAGCCCAAGGGAGTGCTTATAACGAATCATGCCCTCGCCACTGCAGTAGCGGGCACCAAGCGGTTCTGCGAGGTTAATGACTACGTGGTGAGTGGGTGGGAGGAGGAGAAATAGGGGTGGAGGAAAAGGAAGGGAGATGGAAGGAATTTGTGCAAGTGTTTTGGTAATTACCCCGCTGTTGCCTGTGCAATTCCCCCGACAGGCATCCACGTTTCCCACCTGCCTCTCGCGCACATCTTTGACCGCGTAGCAGAGGAGCTCATGACCCTTCGCTCCCAACTGTTCCCTGCCCTGCCTATTCCTCCCTCACCACCCCCTTTTCCCCTTTCCCCTCTCCCACTTCAGCTCACAACGACAGACATTTACATCTCCTACCTGCCCCTGGCGCACATCTTTGACCGCGTAGCAGAGGAGCTCATGACCCACGTGGGTGGCTCCATTGGCTTCTGGCAAGGGGTGAGTGAGACGCAGTGGGTGGGTTGGGATGCAACGGTGGGGGTTATGATGCGGTGGTGAGCGTTGAGATGTGGTGGTGAGGCGGTGAGATGCGGTGGTGAGGGTTGCAGACGTGCTGGGTGTAGGTTCTATACTCTCACCCTCCCCCTTCCCTTCTGTTCCCTCCCACTCCCGTCTCCACCCTCCCACCATCAGCACGTGAGGCGGCCCACAGATGATTTGGAGGCCCTCAAGCCCATCCTGCCTTGCTCACCCTCCCTTCTGTCTCCTTCCTTTGCTGCCCCTCTACTTCTTTCCCTTTCCTTCCTTTCCTTACCCCTCCCTCCATCAGGACGTGAGGAAGCTCACAGACGACTTGTAGGCCCTCAAGCCAACCTTCCCTCGCACACCCTTCTCCCCCCCTCCTTTCCCTTCTTTTCTGTAACCTTCTTCCATTCACCACCAGGACGTGAGGAAGCTCACAGACGACTTGGAGGCCCTCAAGCCAACCTTCTTCTGTGGAGTGCCGCGCATCTTTGACCGCATCCACTCGGGTACGGCCCCATCCCTCCCCTGATTTGACTTAAAAAAATCTCCCCTTACTTGACAGCATCCATTCGTGTAGGCCCATCCCTGTCCCCTCTCGCCGCACCTTGTTCACTCCGAGCACCCTCCTCGGCCTTCCCTCTGCCCCTCGCACGGGGGGCGTCACCAAGTTGCTGTTCGACTATGCCTACAGCAGCAAGAGATCTAGACTGCAAGCACTTTAAACTCTCCATCTTTCCTCTCTCTCCCCTTGGCCCCATCCCAGCTGTGATATCAAAGATCGAGTCAACAGGGGTCCTCCTCACCAAGTTGCTCTTGACCCCTCCATCCCCTCCTCTTTGACTATGCCAACAGCAGCAAGCAATCGAGGCTGGCTAATTCAACCACTCCATCCCCTCTGTGCTCCTCCCCTCCCAGCTGTCATCTCCAAGATCGAGTCAACAGGCGGGCTCACCAAGATGCTGTTCGACTATGCCTACAGCAGCAAGCAAGCACGGCTGGCTGATGCTACCCCTCCATCCCCTCTGCACCCTCTCCTAGCCGTGGTTTCTAAGATTGAGTAAACAGGCGGGCTCACCAAGATGCTGTTTGACTATGCCTACAGCAGCAAGCAAGCACGGCTGGCTCATACTACCCCTCCATCCCCTCTGCACCCTCTCCCAGCTGTCATCTCAAAGATTGAGTCTACGGGCGGCCTCACCAAGATGCTGTTTGACTATGCCTACAGCAGCAAGCAGGCTCGGCTGGCAGCAGGGGTGAAAATTCGCGACGCCACGCCCATCTTTGACTTCCTTGTCTTCAACAAGGTGAGTGGCTGTGAGTGGGTGGGAGGGATAACTGCGGATGGTGGGTGGGAGGGACAGCTGCGGATGGGTGGGTGGGAGGAGGGTTCTGAGCCCATGAAAAGGTTGCAAGCAAGCAAGCGCGGCTGGCAGCAGGGGTGAAGATGCGAGATGTCACGCCCATCTTTGACTTCCTCGTTTTCAGCAAGGTGAGTTGAGGGGGGAATCTTGTTGAGTCCCTTGGAAGGTTGCAAGTAAGCAAGCAAGGCTGGCAGCAGGGGTGAAGATCCGAGATGTCACGCCCATCTTTGACTTCCTCGTTTCAGCAAGGTGAGTTGAGGGGGAATCTTGTTGAGTCCCTTGGAAAGGTTGCAAGTAAGCAAGCAAGGCTGGCAGCAGGGTGAAGATCCGATTCGCCACGCCGCTCTTTGACTTCCTCGTTTTCAGCAAAGTGAGTGGGTGGGCCGGCATGAGGGTGCATGTGTACTCTGAGAGGTGCCTTGAACACGCACAGGTGGCAGCGGCAGCAGGGGTGAAGGTTCGAGACGCCACGCCCATATTCGACTTGCTTGTGTTCAACAAGGTGAGTGGGTGTGGGTGGGAGAAGGGAGGTGCATGTGCGTTTGTAGAGGTGCCTTGAACAATGAACACGTGTGGCTGGCAGCAGGGGTGACGATCCGCGACACCACGCCCATCTTTGACTTCCTGGTTTTCAACAAGGTGAGCTGGCTGTGGATGGGTGGGTGGGAGGAGGGTTCTGAGCCCATGACAAGGTTGCAAGCAAGCAAGCGCGCTGGCAGCAGCGGTGAAGATGCGAGACGCCACGCCCATATTCGACTTCCTCGTCTTCAACAAGGTGGGTAAGAGAGGTGAGGTGTGCATGTTCTTTGTTTTGGAAGCCTTGAACACACACACACAGCTGGCAGCAGGGGTGAAGATCCGAGACGCCACAACCATCTTTGATTTGCTCGTGTTCAACAAGGTGAGTGGGTGTGAGTGGGAGAAGGGAGGTGCATGTGCGTTTGTAGAGGTGCCTTGAACAATGATTACGTGCGGCTGGCAGCAGGGGTGAAGATCCCTGATGTCACGCCCATCTTTGACTTGCTTGTGTTCAACAAGGTGAGTGGGTGGGTGGGTGGGTGGGCTCGAAGGTGCATGTGGGAGAACGGCTGTAGACTGTTTTTTAGATTTCTAAAAAACAGTCTAGCCTTTTCCGTTAAAAAAAAGTTGAGCTTGAAGTGAAGTGACCTTTGAATCGACTCAAAAGTCACCCCGTTCAACAAGGTGAGCTTTGAAAGGAGCTGACAAATGTCTGAGTCGGCTCACTCAACTGAACCCTGCCGTTTCTCCTCCTGTTGTTCTCTCTTCCCCAGGAGGAAACAGAACTCTCTGTTTCCCCTCCTCCATGGTACGATTCGCCCTGTTCGTCTCTCCCCCCACACCTCGTCACCTCCGCAGGTCAACTCGCGGCTGGGTGGCAACGTGCGGATTCTCTGCTTTTTGAGGCGCCTCAAAATGCATCTCAAAATGCATCTCAAAATGCATCTCACTACTCGCGGCTGGGTGGCAATGTGCGGATTCTCTGCTTCAGCTTTCTCTCACGTGGGTGACTAAACTTGCCAGTGCCTGTCTGTGTCCCCCTCCCACATCTCTACCCCTTCCTTCAGATCAAGTCGCGGCTGGGTGGCAACATGCGGATTATCTGCTCACATGCCATCTCACTGGCCCCTCACTCATGTGGAGTTTTTTAGCCACTTTGACTTGATTTCTACCTTGTACCTCTCCCTATTTTGCCCCCATATCTCAACCCCACACCTCTCCCCTCTCGATAGATCAAGGCGCGGCTGGGCGGTAACGTGTGGATTATCTGCTCCGTCTCTCTCTCATCTGGGGATTACAGAATTGACTATACTTGCTTCTGCCCTTGTCTGTCTGTGTCTCCCTCCCAAATCACTACCCCCTTCCTTCAGATCAAGTCGCGGCTGGCCGGCAACATGCGGATTATCTGCTCCGTCTCTCTCTCATCTGGGGATTACAGAATTGACTATACTTGCTTCTGCCCTTGTCTGTCTGTGTCTCCCTCCCAAATCACTACCCCCTTCCTTCAGATCAAGTCGCGGCTGGCCGGCAACATGCGGATTATCTGCTCCGTCTCTCTCTCATCTGGGGACTACAGAATTGACTATACTTGCGTCTGCCCTTGTCTGTCTGTGTCTCCCTCCCACATCTCTACCCCCTTCCTTCAGATCAATGCACGGCTGGGTGGCAACGTGCGATTATCTGCTCTGGCGCCGCCCCTCTAGCCCCTCACGTGGAGGTTGTTGAGTCGACTCAACATGCTTTTACCCGTCCCTCCCTCCGTCGCTCTCCCTAATCCGCACTCTACATTTCTCTCCCACTCTCTCTCTCCCCGATCTGATTCCCATGTTCTCTCACATGGCAGGTCAAGTCGCGGCTGGGTGGCAACGTGCGGATTATCTGCTCGGGAGCTGCCCCACTGGCCCCTCACGTGGAGGAGTTTCTCAAGATCGCCATGTGCTGCCCCGTGGTGCAGGGGGGGTATGGTGAGTTTGAGAGCGGTAACAGTGAGGTTGAGAGGGGTATAGTGAGGTTGCTGCTAATTGACTGGCTTTTAGAGTGGTGCATTGCGGTGCAGCCTCACTGGCCCCTCGCGTGTAAGGAGTTATCTCAAGATCCTTGTGCTGCTGCCCCGTGGTGCAGGGGTATGGTAAGTTTAATAGCGGTACATTGAGGTCGAGAGGGGTACGGTGAGGTTGTTGCCAAATGACTGGCTTATAGAGTAGTGCAATGCGGTGTTGCCCCACTAGTCCCTAAAGGGTAGGAGTTTCTCATAATCGCCATGTGCTGCCTCGTGGTGGGGGTATGGTGAGTGTGATCCTAAGCGTATAAGGTGGTTTGGATTGGATCAAACGACTTGGTGGGGTGCAGTGCTGCCTTTCTCCTCCTTGTCCGTCTCGCCCCACGCATGGATAGAGGTCCTATGATTGCCATGTGCTGCCTCGTGCTTCTTCCCACACCAACACGAGTGGCTTCATCCAAGACGCGGATCGCATCGAGCAGGCTGGCACCGTCAGCCCGCCCATGCCCACGCTTTGAACACTTGTCAATTCATCTCACCCAAATGCCCTTCCAAACATCCCCCACGCCCTCTCCTCCAGGCCTCACCGAGACCAACACGAGCGGGTTCATCTCGTACGCGGATCGCATCGAGCAGGCCGGCACAGTCGGCCCGCCCATGCCCACCCGGTCAAGACCCTCATCTCAGTCCCCATGCCCATCATCTCACCCAATGCCCCTCACATCACAACCCTCCCTCCCTTCCTCCCCCAGGTCTCACCGAGACCAACACGAGCGGGTTCATCTCGTACGCGGATCGCATCGAGCAGGCCGGCACAGTCGGCCCGCCCATGCCCACCGGTCAAGACCCTCATCTCAGTCCCATGCCCATCATCTCACCCCAATGCCCCTCACATCACAACCCTCCTCCCTTCCTTCCCCCAGGTCTCACCGAGACCAACACGAGCGGGTTCATCTCGTACGCGGATCGCATCGAGCAGGCCGGCACCGTCGGCCCGCCCATGCCCACCAGCCCATTTCCCTCCTCTTATTCACGCAACTGCCCTTAACCCCCTCCCCCCCAATCTCCCAGGTCTCACCGAGACCAACATGAGCGGGTTCATCTCGTACGCGGATCGCATCGAGCAGGCCGGCACGGTCGGCCCGCCCATGCCCACCCGGTCAAGACCCTCATCTCAGTCCCCATGCCCATCATCTCCCCAATGCCCCTCACATCACAACCCTCCCTCCCTTCCTTCCCCCAGGTCTCACCGAGACCAACACGAGCGGGTTCATCTCGTACGCGGATCGCATCGAGCAGGCCGGCACCGTCGGCCCGCCCATGCCCACCAGCCCATTTCCCTCCTCCTCTTATTCACGCAACTGCCCTTAAACCCCCTCCCCCCAATCTCCCAGGTCTCACCGAGACCAACACGAGCGGGTTCATCGTACGCGGATCGCATCGAGCAGGCCGGCACGGTCGGCCCGCCCATGCCCACGCTGGAACCCGCCTCGAATCCATCCCGGAAATGAACTACGACGCAATCGGGTCAACAACCAAGCAGGAAGGAGAATCAGGGAGCGCAGGGGGGGGAGACTCAGGGGAGGCGCAGGCGCATCCCCCGCGGGGGGAGGTGTGCATTCGCGGGCCGATTCTGTTCTCGGGGTATTACAAGAGGGAAGATTTGACCAAGGAGGCGGTGGATGGGGAGGGGTGGTTCCACACGGGTGACATCGGCGAGTGGCAGGCGGATGGATCGATGAAGATTATTGACAGGAAGAAGAATATTTTCAAGCTGGCTCAGGGGGAGTATGTTGCTGTGGAGAATCTTGAGAATGTCTTCGGGAACTGCTCGGCTATTGATATGGTGAGTGGTTGGTGGGGATGGGGAGTGGTGGACATCGGCGAGTGGCAGGCGGATGGGGCGATGAAGATCATTGATCGGAAGAAGGACATTTTCAAGTTGGCGCAAGGGGAGTATGTGGCTGTGGAGAACGTGTTTGGCAACTGCTCGGCAATCGACATGGTGAGTGGTGGGCTGGTGTGTGGGTGTATGGCAACAGCTTCGAGGCAGTGCTGGTGGCGGTGGTGGTGCCAAACAAGCCAACTCTGATCGGGCTAAGGGGGCGGGTGTGGAGGGGGACTATGCTGCCCTGTCTTACACCTTCACTCCCTGTCCCCCTCTCCCACCCTTTCCCCCCCTGCTCGTCCTGCTCTCTCAATCTTCAGGTGTGGGTGTATGGCAACAGCTTCGAGGCAGTGCTGGTGGCGGTGGTGGTGCCAAACAAGCCAATGCTGCTCGAGTGGGCCAAGGGGGCTGGCGTGGAGGGGGACTATGCTGCCTGCACTGTGCGCCCATCTACCACTCCTTCACTCTCACCCCTCTCCTGCTCTCTTACCCACTCATGTCAACACTTGCAGGTGTGGGTGTATGGCAACAGCTTCGAGGCGGTGCTGGTGGCGGTGGTGGTGCCAAACAAGCCGACTCTTCTCGAGTGGGCCAAGGGGGCGGGTGTGGAGGGGGACTATGCTGCTCTCTGCGCCACTGAGGAGGCGAAGAAGTTTATTCTTGGGCAGCTGACCGAAACGGGAAAGAAGGGCAAGGTGAGAGGGACGGAAGGGGGGGAGAGATAGAACGCAGTTGAGGTAACAGGGGAGGAGAGGCGGGCATTTATATTACCTGTATGTTGTGACTTGACTCCCCTTCTCGCGCCCGAGTGGGCCAAGGGGGCGGGGCGGGCGTGGAGGGGGATTATGTTGCTCTGTGCGCCACCGAAGAGGCGAAGAAGTTTATTCTCGGGCAGCTGACTGAAACGCGCAAGAAGGGCAAGGTAAGATTTCCGGGCTGCCCTTGATTCGTTTTTATTTCATCCATTCACCCCGCATCACCCTTCACACTACACGTGCTTTCTACCATACTACACTATACCCACTCTGCGCACGAGCTCGAGGGCTTGTGAGATGGAAGAAGCGGTGCATATGGAGTTGTTGATTAGCGGGGCGTCAATATAGATAGTTTCCTTTCCCTCCCCCATTCCCCGTTGCCCTTTTGGTTCCCCTGTGCCCTGTGCCCTGTGCCCCCATGTGCACCAGCTGAAGGGCTTTGGTGACTTTTGAGTCAACTTAAAAGTCATCTCACTATAATGCCATTCCCCTTCGCCCTTTTGGTTCCCATGTGCCCTGTGTCCCCATGTGCTTCAGCTGAAGGGCTTTGAGATGGTGAAGGCGGTGCATCTAGAGTCACAGCCCTTCGACATGGAGAGGGATCTGCTCACCCCATCGCTGCTCTTCCCCGCCTTCCTTTCTCCGTGGCCCGTGTATCCCTGTGCCCGGTCGCTCTCCCCTGTCACCAGCTGAAGGGCTTTGAGATGGTGAAGGCGGTGCATCTGGAGTCACAGCCCTTCGACATGGAGAGGGACCTGCTCACGCCCACGTTCAAGAAGAAGCGCCCGCAGCTGCTCAAGTACTACCAGGTGGGTGGCTTGTTGTGATGATCCCTGCACCAGTGCACTAGGCACCGGTGCTCCTTGCATCTCCCCACGCTCACTTTCTAGAAGAAGCGCCCGCAGCTGCTCAAGTACTACCAGGTGGGTTCAGTGGTCAGGTATTGACGTGCATGGCGGCTTTAGTGCCGTGGCTGGTGTGTAGTCAAGCTGTGTGACATCTCTGAGAAGTGTCAGTAAGTCCTTCGACATGGAGAGGGATCTGCTCACGCCCACATTCAACAAGAAGCGCCCGCAGCTGCTCAAGTACTACCAGGTAGGTTGCCTGCAGTGATGATTCCTACACCAGTGTTTCTTGTACCTGCTGACGCCCACGTTCAAGAAGAAGCGCCCTCAGCTGCTCAAGTACTACCAGGTGGGTTCAGTGTTAAGGCGGGTGGCAACACTTTGGTGTGCATGCAGACGTGCATGCTCGGTTCTGTGGTCGGTGTATTGTCGAGTTTGACTTATTCTCACAACTACCCTTCTTGTCCCTACCCTTCTTTTCTATGCCCCCCTTGCCTTTGCCCCCCTTGCCTCTGCCCCCCTTGCCTCTGCCCCCCTTGCCTCTGCCCTCTCTTCTGCCCACCACAGGCACAAATCGACGCCATGTATGCAGGTCTAAAGAAGTAAAACCTTGAAGTTTTGATGTTCAGCCCAAAAAGTGAGGAGAGGAGCTCTGGAAAGGTGACGCTTCTGTGAATGGAAGCTTCGAAGAAGTGTATTTCGGCCCTTGTTACAAACCCAACTTATAGGGGAGCATGCGAGAAACAGTGGGTGAGCAATGGGCGCATAGGGGAGATTGAGTGAGGTGGACTCAAATTGCTTCTTCGTACTTGTGCTTTATGTGACTACCGTGTTTGTACCTATTGTATAGTTCTAGAGAACCTTGGCCATGTACCTTTAGAGGTTGTGCTTATTGCTTGTACTATAGTGATGTGCAATGGTACAACCTGTAATAGGAATATCAGTACGTTAGTCATATGAGAAACTAATGTGATAGAATACCAGACGATTTCCATCCTGCTTGGACATACATGCTATGATTCCTTTCCTGCAATAATACTATTACTAAACTCACCGTAATGCGTATGTAAACTATATCGGAGCACAACTTAATACCGGTACAAGGGTAAAGAATCGTTGTCTATACCTGTGCGCATAACTCCGGCTCGCATCCTCCTAATCAGCCCCTGCTTCCCGCCACACGCGGCCGAGCATCTCGCGCCGTTCTTGAAAAGACCAGATGTGGGGAAATCCGAGCAACGCGTGAAATCCGTGTCGCTTCGATTCCGACCGTTGCACATTTATTATTCCTGATGGTGGGAGATACGCGGGTGGGCGATAGAGGGGGAGGAGCTACGCGGAGAAGTGATAGTGTGGCGAGTGAAACGCGGTCGGGCGATGGAGGTGCGGCGGATAGCGCAAGTCGCGGTAGCACGACCGGCACGACCGGCGCACCCGTCGCGGCAGTACAGGAGCTGGGTGCTCGAAGCCATGATACCGCGGTTCAGAGCGGTGCTGAGAGGTGCATTGAGGCGGCGTTAGCGGACGATTTGTTAAATAGCGCAGGTGCGGCGGATAGCGCAAGCCGAGGCGACACGGCTGTGACGGCAGCTCAGGGGTCTCAAGCGGTCCAGAGCGGTGCTGGGGGGTGCATCGAAGGGGTTGCGGCGGATAGCGCAAGCCGTGGCGGCACGGCCGTGACGGTAGCTCATGGGTCTCGAGACCATCATACCACGGCGGTTCAGAACGGTGCTGAGGGATGCAAGGGGGAGGGGGAAGATGAGGGCAGGGAGGCGGAGAGCGCAGGCGGGGCAGAGCAGAGTTTACCGGACGGGGAAGCGCCTTCCGCGGGGGTTACTCCCGGACGAGGCGCAGTGGCGGAGGGTTCAGGGGAGAGACTGGGGGAAGGATTGGCGGAGGATTTGGCGGAGCGGATCCGCGCGCTGGTGGACGTGGCGGACATGGGCGCAGTGCGGGAGGCGCAAGGGGAGAGGTGAGTACGTGCGGGACGAGCGGGATGAGTGGAGGGCGCAGGGGAGGGCGCCGCGGGAACATTTACTTTCAACGCCTTTTCGTTCAAGGCTATGAAATGCTTTCCAGGCTTTTTAACGTCTGTGCTCTCCACTGGCTAGCTCTCCCCCACCCGCTCCTTTTTCCCCCCACCCTTTTTTCCCCCGCACCCTGCACCCCGCACCCCCCATGGCAGTCTAGGAGCGTTACAGGACGCGGCAGGTATCTTGGCGCATTTTAACGCCTTTTCGCTGAAGGCGCTCGCTTCTCAGCCCCTGCCACGCGCATTGACTGTTATTTCCCCGTGTCCCTCTCCCCTTCTCCCCTCCACCCACCAGCCTAGGCGCGTTACAGGACACAGCGGCCATTTTGGCGCATTTCAACGCCTTCTCGCTCAAAGCGTTGGCGTCTGAAGCCCCTGCCATGCGCGCCCATACTGCTGCCTTACACGCCTTACAGAGTGACCTCATGCGTTCGTTCCGGAAAATCAGGTGCGGGGGAGGGGAGTGGGGTGGAAGTAGGTTCTCGCTCAAGGCGCTGGCGTCTGAAGCCCCTGCCATGCGCGCCCATACTGCCGTCCTGCATGCCCTACAAAGCGACCTCATGCGCTCGTTCCAAAAAATCAGGTGTGAAGAGGGAGGGTGGGGGTGGGGAGAGGGACGGGGAGGCGGGTTCTCACTCAAGGCGGTGGCGTCTGAAGCCCCTGCCATGCGCGCCCACACTGCTGCCTTAAACGCCTTACAGAGTGACCTCATGCGCTCGTTCCGCAAAATCAGGTTTGCGACGAGGAGGGTGATCAAGGGTGGGGGTTGAGGGGGGTTTTGCCTCAAGGCTCTCGCGTCTGAAGCCCCTGCCATGCGTGCCCACACCGCCACCTTGCAAGCCCTACAGCGCTCGTTCTGGAAAGTCAGGTTCGCGGGGTGGGGTTGGTGTGGGCTGGGAGAAAAGTTAAGGGGGAGGGTGGGGGAAGGGAAGGTGAGTCGCTGGCGTGTGCACACCGCCACCCTGCTCTCATTGCACGCCTATTTCTCATGCGCTCGTTCCAAAAAAGGGGTTGGGGTTTGCGAAAAAGGGGTTGGGGTTTGCGGGAGTGGGTTCTGGCTTTCAGAGCCCCTGCCATGCGCGCCCACACCACCGCCCTGCTCTTATTGCACGCCTTTTTCATGCGCTCGGTTTGACGCATCAGGTGTGGTGGGAGGGAGGAAGGGAAGGTAGCTGGAGGTTGTAAGCAGAGGATCACGTGGGTTTGATCCTAAACTGCCTAAAATAAAGCAGTGCTACCTGAATGTGACTGAGAGTTTTTCACTTCGCGGAAAATTGACCACATGAGCTTGAATTGGACGGTTTGTGGCATGAGCATTACCTAAATATGTCGAACGTGCTTGCTGTGCCTTTCTCTGCACTGCCCTGCTGTACTGTACCGTACGTGCATGCAGGGAAATGAAGGCGAAATTGAGAAAGGCATTTCCAAATGCATTTGAGGTCAGTGGTGGGTTCTGACTTAGCTCTTAACGGGTCAAGGTAAGTTGGGGTTTCTTAGTTGTATTTTTTTTGTTAGCATGCTCTCTTCCTCCGCTTGTCTTTTAAAGCGTCTCAAAAGCTGACTCCCGTTGTGCCCCGATGTTCCTCCGTGGGTTCTTCCCTTAACAGGTCGACCAGCACATCCCATCTCATTGCTTTCTCCCTGTCAATCCACTGCTACCATCCCCCTCATTGCTCCCAGGAAGCAGAGGAGATAGTGGCATTGCAGCCGGAATTGCAGGAGCGAAGGCAATTACTCACCGCCAATTTTTGCACCACCCTCACCATCTCTCTCTCTCTCTCTCTCTCTCTCTCTCTCTCTCTCTCTCTCTCTCTCTCTCTCTCTCTCTCTCTCTCTCTCTCTCTCTCTCTCACCACCACCTCTACCATCCCCCTTATTGCTCCCAGGAAGCAGAGGAGATAGTGGCATTGCAGCCGGGATTGCAAGTGGAGGAGGAGTGAAGGCCAGCACTCACCAACCCCACCGACTCTGTTTTGCTATCACCACCACTGCTATCCCCCTCATTGTTTTTAGGAGGCAGCGGTGATAGTGGCATTGCAGCCGGGATTGCAAGAGGATGAGGAGGATGAGTAAAGGGGAGTAAAGGGGAGTAAAGGGGAGTAAAGGGGAGTAAAGGGGAGTACTCACCACCACCAACCAACTCCTGCATCCTTCACTTCTTCTGTTTCTCCCTCACCACCACCACCACTACCACCCCCCTCAATGCTCCCAGGAAGCAGCAGATGTGGTGGCATTGCAGCCGGGATTGCAAGTGGATGAGGAGGAAGGATGAGTGAAAGGGAGCACGGTACTGACTGAACCATCTCTGCAGTGTATATATCAACCTGTAATCTGTCTCTGCACTGTACATAGGCCTGTAATATCATCTGTGCAAATGATTCCTGCAATGATATTACCGGAAGAGGAAGTTATAGAGTTTTGGCAGAACCTTGGCTGGCAGGACCTAGATTGTATTCAGAACTTCGCCCCTGATTGTTCAGTGCTGCCAGCTTGTCTTACCCTGATTCTTCAGGATTGTTACTGAATACTGTAGGTTAATTGAATCCAATATAGCCCTGATTCTCACAAGCAGCAGTTACAAGCAGCAGTCATGTCACAAGCAGCAGTCGCAAGGCAGCAGTCACTAGCAGCAGTCAATGAGCAGGCAGCAGTCATGAGCGGGCAGCAGTGACAGCACATGAAGCCACGTGCCAGATCGGGCAGCTGAGCAGAAAAGGTGCATGCTGCAAAGGCAGGCAGTCACACAGAGAGCAACTGAGGAAGCAGGCAGTCAGACGGAGAGTGCCAGGAAACCAGAAAATTATTCACTGACTTGACTGACATGCACGGGCAGTTCACTGACTTGACTGACATGCGCGGGCACAAAGTGCACATGCAACCATGTGGCAATTCAGGCAGCTGGGGAAGCAAACGGGATGGTGCAAATGCAATGTGCTCAGAGAACAACCATTAACTGACAGAGAGAGTGCCAGGAGACTGAAGGAGCTCACTGACAGTAAGAGCAGCAAATGCACGCACATGCAACCATGTGGCAGATCAGGCAGCTGGGGAAGCAAACGGGATGGTGTGAACACAGAAAGAAGAATGCAAAAGAACGACCATGAACTCACAAGGAGAGTGCCAGGAGACCAGAGCAACTCACCGATGCATGTCGCAATGGCAAGTGGCAGAAAAGGGAAATACAGAGAAATCACTTAAGACATACATGTCGCAATGGCAAGTAGCAGAAAAAGGAACTACAGAGAAACCACTTAAGACAATTACCCAAAAGGGAGCAGCAAACCGAAGGAGTTGAGGAACGGAGCAGAGGCAAGAGGACAAGTAGCAGGTGCGGAAAAGAGAAGATGAGGGGGTGAGCGGGAGAGGGAATTGAGGAGAGCTGTGAGATGACGGGCAGGGGCAGGAGGAACGACGGATGGTTAGAGGAGCAGGAGAGAGGGGAGGAGGGGGGGGGGAGAGGGTGAGGGTGGGAGAGGGTCTGGAGAGAGGTGATTGGGAATGAGAAGATGACGGGTGAGCGGAGGGGGATTGTGGGTTGGCTGGAAGAAGGGACTGGAGAGAGGGGATGGGTGGGAAAAGGTAATGAGGAGTGTATAAGTGGGGTTGATGAGGGGTGAGCGGGGGGAAGGGGAGGGGAGGGCAGGGGGGTTCGTTGATGATTAGGGCGTGAGACATGGCGAGGGGAGTGAATAAGTTGAGCAGTGAAGCGGGGAGAGTGGGAGCGGAGAGGAGGGAAGGGAGATGAGGGGTGAGAGCGGGGTGGGAGAAGAGTGGGGGAGGGGAAGAGTGGTGTGGAGTTTAGGGTTGGGTGCAAAAAGGGGGGAGAAAGGAAACGCGACGAGATAAGCGGAGCACGCAGGGAAAAGAGGGAGAGGGAGTGGGGGAGTGGGGGATGGGGGAGCGGGGGAGATGAGGGGAGAGCGCTGAAGAAGAGGGACAGAGCGGGGAATATGAGGGGAGAGCTTGAGGGATGCGGGATGGGTTACGATTCTAGAGGGGAGGGAGGGGTACGAAAGCACGAGGAGGGGAAAGGGGGAAACTTAGGGGAAAGAGGCCACTCCGCCTGTCACCTCTTGCCAGTCTTTTTTTTTTTTTTTTTTTTTACTCCGATAAGGACTTCCACAGGTCGATACCCCCTCCCCTCCGCTCCCTTACCTCTCCCCTCCCCTTCCGACTTCCTCTTTTCCACAGTTGTGCGCATCGTGCCTTGCGTTCGTATCATGCGTTTGCATGATAAGTCTCGAGCGATACAAACTTGAAATGAATGTGTCCGCTTTTTTTTTCTTCGACCCGAAATCACTCTCTAAAAAAAAAACCGTAACGACTGTATCTGCAAATCGGCGCACAAAAATTAGTACCGCAGATGAGCTATATAATCCTCAGATCTTACCAGTACATATAAACGCCAATCACCACTACTGGCGCGAATCTGGAGAGAGCAACTAACAGCACCTTACTAAGATCAGCAATAGTAACCGCACTATATATGTGAAGCGGCGAGCGCTGGAGTAGGACTGAAGCGCGATTGAGACTAGCTACGGTACTGAGATCTAACGAGTTGCAGAAACAAGATCAGAGACTCCATGGGAAAAAGAACTACCGCTTTTGCCTCCAAAAATCAGTAAGCGACGGCAGCGAGATGAACGATGACAGGAAAACTAATACTCGCTGACTTGATGTAAGGGGAGAGTAACTATCAGAACTGCATAATGCTGAAAGAGAAGAATTAGGTATGGCAGGTGAGAAATTGTGAGGTCGGGGTTGTCGATTCATGCCTTGGTTCTTGCGCGAGGGTGACAGAGACATTCGGTGCTGCCGTGGAAACACCCTTCATCCCTATTGGCTAGCTAAATTTCTTCAGGATCACATTCATATTTTCAGCTGCCCAAGTCAGGCTCGGAGGAGCAAAATGAAACGCGGAGAAAAGCTAAACTTTCCGCGCCA